TATATATATATATATATATATATATATATATATATATATCAACAATCTTTATAGATACCGCACCAAAATAACCATGGGTTTAACGTAAGATAAAAAATAGAGGGGGAAAAGAAAAAATAGTCAACTTCGGGAATAAAAAAATTTGCGTTGAGCAGAACGACAGCGAAGTTGCCTACCAACAAAGTTGGGCGGCGGTGATAGGGCTCCAAATTACACCGGTGATAGCGACTTAAACCGCTTGACCGCCAACACACCTGAATTGTCCAATCAACCATTTATTTAGCAAAAAGCATTAAAGGAATTAAGGAAGGGATTGTGACGAACATTTAGATAAGAACAAGAAAAATCGCAGTGCAGAGTAGGAAACTGGTCTTTGACTCATTTTTAGAAAGGCATTTAAAGATGCAGTTCAAAAGGTAAAGTATACGATCCATAGAAACTAAACAAAAAACGGCACTGAACAGCAAAGCAATTGATTGTAAAGCTAAAAAATTAAGGAATACCCAAAAAAACCCAGACTGAAGTTGCACCGGCAGCAAACCAAATAAGGTACTTTAATAAAACGATTTATTCTTTGAAATGGGCATGTGCAAAAACAGCTTTGTTTATCACTCAGTATTCCTGGGAAAAACCAGAAATTAAAAGAAAACTTACATCAGAGCGGTCGACTCGCATAGGACTTCGAGTACGAGAATGAACCTGGAAAAGAAGCGGAACCATCATAAACGGCGTTCTAAATAACCTAAAAATGACGCATGCCATGCAAGGACAGTTTTGCAAGCGACTGTAAAATCCAGAGAAAACATCGCCTAACTTAATGAGTAAACAGCTTTCATATATTGTATCAAGTGATTGTGGTTACGATTAGTGATGATCTGCGAACGCACTAGACAAATTCGCTGTCATCCCAGCACTGAGGTTGCTTCACTGGGCCCTTATGTGGTCCTGAGGCTCAAGCAGCACCTTATTATGGTTCTTGGGAAAATGAGGTTAGCTCTTTACACTGCTCACCACAACTGTGTAATGAGACGCCCGAAGGATCAAGTAGCAGAGTTGTGCAAAAGACTATCATAAACTGAACTGATGTAGTTAATATAAGAGAGCCAAGATAAAAGAGCCTTACTCAATGAGGGGAAAGCTAAAAAGCACCGACCAAGAACGAAACCGAACTTAATTAAACGCTCAATCTATAAACTATTTGGATAACTATAGGTCCAGATTAGCCAGAACATGCTTAATTCAATGCTGATGTAAGAGAGCAGGTTTATAGGACAGAATCTTACATTCGGTAGTTTTTTCAACACAGTTTTTTCAAAGAAGTTGTATTTACAGGTTCACTTCAGGTCCGGAACTGATCAAAGTGGCGGACCAAATTGGGATAATAAAATACGCATGAGAACATAGTAGGCACACTTTGGAATAAAACGCGATGGGATCTACCGATCACAATATACCTCAAATATGAATGGTTGATACTGCACTACTAGTTCAGTTTAGTTCTTACAACCATTAACCATGAACTTTCGCGCGCCGATTTCGGTTGCTGTCCTTTGGTTGCCCATCTGCATAAAACAGCAGAATTATGATTTTTTCTATTACACACTTTCGTGTGATGAACAGCAGACGGGGTGGAACCCCATAATCACGAGGACCTGCTGTTCAGTGATGGAAACCGGTAACCTAAGCCCCGGGACTTGGAGTGGTAAATCACATAAGGCCCCGATAGGTTGGATGTGGTATTGAACCGGATGACAGCAGAGCTGCCTACCACCAAAGTCGGGTGGCAGGTCGGGGCTTGAACCTCGGACCATGGGGTCTAAAGCACGCCGGTGACAGCGACTAAACCACTGCGCCACCACCATTAGAATGTTGAGAGCAGATTCAAAAATAGTAATGCATTTACAAAAACTGAAGTTACAAGAATAATGAGTAGATGCATGAAAGCCACTGGTTGCGACACTCAGCCATATCACCGTCTCTAACCATCGGTAAACGTGGTCCCTGGGTCCCCGGCCAGGGACCCTAACGGGGCCTATGTGAGCCAGTCTCCTGGTCAGGGTTTTCATACCCTGTACTACTAGGAATATTATCTAAGTGTCAATAGCTACCAGAAGATAACCAACCTTTCTACAAAATCGAAAGCCAATATCGGTGCACCACGTAAACCCCAGTAGAGCAGTCAATGTGGAGCGGCAGTGGCTGTTCGCCACCAAGTTAGGTAACCCTGGCGTGGCTTGAGCCTTGAACATTAAGGACCAGTACATCCGTGACACAAGACACAATCACGAGTCGGCACTTACAAGTGCAATGGTCAAAACCAGTAATACGATGCATGCAAGAAACATTCCCGTAAAAACAGCAGCAAGATGGAATCTTTTCGTTAATAGGTCAATGAGTCACAACTGATTATTCGAACGGGTGTCCCCGGGAAACTCAACATCTGTATTTTTTAAATTAATTGTCACTAAATGGAACAAACTATCCCTTTTCACATTTTTTTGGAAGTTCTACGGACAAGTAGGGGATTGCTGATTAGGTCACTACGGAGGGTAGTCTGAATTCAGCAGATGGGATCCATGCCAGTCATGAGAGGGGAGAAACGAAAGGCTTATTTAACCAGCTGGCTGGGAATTTCATGGTAAGAGGATTAAAATTGCATCACATGCACCAGGCAGTTCTCGTGTCAGTTTCCATGCAAACTAAACAGCATTAGGCCCCTTCATCTAACCTGACCCTTGAAATTCGACTGCGGTGTAGTTAACTTTGACTGTTGCAAGAAACCGGCATCTGGATCTGTTTCATATACCGAAGAACTAACGTCACTGACCCGAGAGGCAGGACTGTCCGATCGAGTAAATTGCGAGTAGTGAGTGAACTCAATTGGAGACTTGAATCGAGATGATCGACCACTTGTGGAGTCGGAACTGACTTGGCTGGATGTTTTGACATGAAATTGAGAATATGGAGTCATGCAAATGTCGTCGCTCCCTTCTCGTACGTCAGAATCGGAGCTCGATGTAGAAGTTGTATTTCCGGGAGAAACAGTGAGCCTGCGAACACCTGGAGCTTTCATTATATGCAGAAAATTGCCGGCTTTGTTGTGAGGATTGAAAGCTGAAATGAAAATGCCAACAACTGATTAAATGCGCAGACGTATCTTAAACATTTTATCAAGATAACAGAATGTTCTATCACGTTAACATATTGTACTGCTGATTGGATGTCGATACATTGAAACAAGTGGGTGAGAGCATTAACTCACCTCTGACTTCCGTATTATCATTCTGATTCTTCAGGTTATTTACAGGAGTTAACCTTCGAATATTGCAATAAAGCGGATTATCGATTCCTAGTTTTCCTTTACTTGCCAAGGAGACCGAGGGATTCGGACGAACAATGAAATGAACACGACCGTTCGGCGCGGTGACAGAATTCGCAATTTGATTTCGGAATAAAGAGCGTTGAGTGATTACATCACCGGGTTGCGATACATTCAGTGTGGTTTTAAACTCATCGAACTCTTCTTTGCACGCTGGAAACTGAGCTATCTCCACATTTTGGCCAACTTCGTGAACATGACTTCCGGGCGATTCAACCTTTGGCTGTGGTGAGTCTGTTGGGGATGGAGTTCCTGAAGACATTACACATGACACATAGCCACTTGACTCCTCTGACGCCCTGTTGCTCCCGAAAGAATGTACGGAGAGATTCTCTGAGAGTTGGGGCACGTCATTTAAGAGATCGCCCAAAACCATCCCTATATTCACGGTGAAAATAAAGTCGATATCATACCCTCTTCCAGTTGTAAGTCGGGAATTTCCGTCTTAAATTTCATTATCTCGGACACCGCATCCGTTAACAAATCATCCTGGGAAAGTTGCCCATCTTGAATGTCCTCAAATAAATCCGGAATCCAATGCGAATTGTGTGGAGAAAAACACTAAATAAGTAATTAACTCAGCGAAAGTATACAATTCTTACTAGATCACTGGTATCTATGTCGTTGAACGCATCAGCCAGGGGATGCTCGCTGATCATGGTTCGACGACTTCTTAGTTGCACAATGTGACCTTGA